AAGTGGTTGAGGTGCACTGAACTTGTGTTGTGTTACATATTTGAGCCAGTTTTCAATCACTTATGAGTAATTTCACTTATATCATGAGTAATTTCTGTCCTGAGACCAAGAGTTCAATATACAGAAACAGCATAAACGTGACCCTTACAATAAGCGAGGTATACCCCATATATTATAACATAACATTTTTTTAAAGCTCACTTAATTAAACTTTAGGGCAAACATGTTTAACAAGATTCCTTTAAGCTTCTATTCTACCAATAAAAGGAAAATTTTGGGCAGTGTCTGCACCTCAAAAATTAAAACAAGTGAATGAAGAAATGAGGACAAGGAAATAAAGTTAAAAAAGAACGTCTCAAATCTGACTTATTCAGGAAAAAAGGTAGACAAGGCATTGAACACTTAGCTTAGAAATTAAAAATAAAATGTTCAAAGCAGATGGAGATAGTAAAAAGTCTCATATTCAGAAGCTATGAGAATTTTTTTGAATAATACTGAAAATAATCAGTCTGTTCTCTGACAAATGGAAAGGTCTTTTCTACAGATAAGCCAAGCAGTTTTTCAAGAGCACAATGTAGGGTTCAGATACTAACCAGTAGGTCCGTTAATAAAATAAATACTTCTAGAAAATACAGTTATGCTTTGAATATAAAAAATAAAAAATATCTGATTAGTGCTTAAATTCTACCCGGAAGTATTGGGGCAGGAATTCCTAAAATGACATGAATACAGCCTTGACCCCTGCCACTTAGGAGATTCTGGAAACAGGGCAGAAAAAATTTTTAGGCAATACTCAGATATTTGGAAAATTCATTTCTATCCAACTGTCTCATTTGCACTACAAGCAAGACATGTTTCAGGTAATCTTTTTGATTAGTAGAGTTTAAGGTACTGTAGTAGAGAAAATATAAGGCCGTTTTCCCCCTCGTAGAATAATAAATCAAACAAAAACATGACAGATGTTAAAGATTTACAGTATTAAATCAAACTAGTGTAATCCAACAGGAATTCCCAGTAGGCAAAAATAAATTCCCAACAGAAAAATACTAAGAAGCTGTGACTCCTTACCTTAGTCCCCATATGATACTGTGTTTGAATGCTCAATAGAGATACTGAATTTATTTATGTTGAATATTGTAGATTCCAAATATAGATAAGAATTTCTGAGATACATCAGTAATATTCTAAATAAAACACATTTGTACTAGGTCCATAAGAAATTTAATTTAAAAGTACTTAAGGGGAAAAATACTTCCAATGCTTAGTGGTGATAGTTATTCATGCCACAGTCACCAAAACAAACTGTATTATATCTGATAATATACTGCTTTCCATATTTTTCATGGGAGAGAAACTGAGATAGAAACCCAAAGGAAGGTCAAAAAGAAGGCTGAAATAGAGTCTACCTCTCATGACCTAAATGAGATCATATTCAATTGGAAATCTTCAAACAGGAAGTGGTAGAAAGCATTGCTTAATACAGCTAACCCTGGATTTGGGAAAGTATCATAAAATGACAAGCTTTATTGCACAAACACACATCTGTTTATAAAGCAGCTACTGGAAATTGAGATGTGCATTATAAGGGAGAAAAATACGGTAACAGCAGTTTGAGTGACTCGAGTTTCTGCCAGGCAAAATAGAAGTAACTGCACACGATTCAGAGGAAGAACACAATGAACAGGCTCAATGTTGTTACAAAGTTGCTCATTACAAGGAAAGGTTTTATTCTTCATTTTACCCTTCAAAAACAAGGTCCATCTATTATTTTGGGGTATGTTGTACACAAGCAAATATGGTATATTGCAGGGAATGAAATCCTTAATGTGCTTTCTGAATTTATACCCGCTGCCTTTTAATTTTTTAGGATTACAAATTCTATGACCATGAGTTGTTCAACTAATCTAATAATCATTATTTTATTTCAATAACAGTACAAACTGACAAAAATGATTAATAAAGAAATATCACTATTGTAGCAATACTACTACTACTACATCAAAGACAGATTTTGTAATATATTTAATGTCATAATTGAAACCTGGTTGGTATTTCTTTTAATAGTATACTTTGACTGAATAAAAATATTTTAATAGGCAGCACAACAGATATTTTGGGAAGATTTACAGAGCTTGTGTCTACTGTATCTATTTCCTCATATACTCATATGAACTGTTTAAAAAAATAAGTGAGGTATTAACTGTCAAATCTGCACAATGCAGTCTTTAACAAACCAGAAATTTGGTATTAAGCTAAATGTGGAGTTTATACAGAAAAAATTTTATTAGTGCCAGGTAACAGTCATAAGACTCTAGGGAAAAAGAACCCTCCAATAATTCAGTATTTCTAAATGCTACTGTTGTTTCAACAACATAGGTATTAAATACTCCAGAAGATGCTGTTTGTAGCTGTGTTGCAGTGAAAGTGTATGAGCTTTAAAATGAGTGGTTAAAATAATAAAACGGAGAAACTAGATATCCCGATACTTGGTGGTCCATAAACAGGAACACTACCTACAGTTGCAAAAACTAAACCATCTGCAGCATTTAGTTTTGATTTACAAATGCCTGAGATATAAAGCACAATTTCAGAAAATACAACTTTCTGTATCTACGCAACTTTAATTTGACATTTTTGACCAAGGCAAATACCAAAAATACATGCGATACTATACTTACTTAAAGAGGTGGGTTTTAGTTTACTTAAATTGTTACTGTACAAGTTAACTCTTTAAGCAATGACAGTTTTCATTCTTCCCAGAGTTTAAAAGTTTTGCAAAGTTTTCCATTACCTACCCTGACAGTATTTCCAACAGTTTGTAACTCAGTAGGGAGGAGAAAGGAGAAAAAAAAATACTGGAAAGAGATCTCTTGGCAAACATTTTGGCACATGATCACATTGAATTAAATTAGTTTCAAAATTGGAAAAGAAATTTGTTTACCCTCCTCTCATTCATCAGTTAAACTGATGTTAACTTAGACTATTGTATACAGGACCTGAAGAGTTCTATGGAATCCTACCTCTATCTTAGAGCCAGTGTGGACTGTCTGTGCAGTTGGCCCAGAGTACATGTACTTCTGCTATACAATACAGTGCTTAATAATAATATATAGGGGTGCACTAATAGACATTGTGGGGGCTGATACCAATCTGATACCCAATACAGCTGCCACCAGGTGGTTAAGTTTGGTGTGGTGGAAGGAGAGGAGGAAGAGGGGGCATGGGGAGGGCAGATTAAGGCCCCCTGTGGTGAGGGAGGGGGTAGGTGCTCTCCAGCCAGGGGGGAGGGCCTGAAAGAAGGAGGTGCAGCTCGTGGAGTGGGGGCAGCTCCCACTGCTGCTTGCACCCTGGGAGGGCGGGGTGGGGGTATGTGCCCCTGGATCTGCATGGCACAGGATGGGTGGCAGCTGAAGGGTGGACCAGAGCCAGCACTGTGAGGAGCTGTTCTCACCAGGGGCTGGGCTCAGAGCAACAGTGGGGATGCATAGCAGGTGCATATGCCCCCCCCCCCGACTCAAGAAGCACCCATCACCCATGTGAAGTGGGCTCCAGCCAAGCTGGGAGGGGGCAACAGCCCTGTTCTGAGCCCCGTGCTACTGCCTAACACAGCTGCAGCTTTTCCCGGCACTTGGGTGGAGGCAGGGCATTGAGCTGGGGATGCGTCAGGCACTGGGGGACGGTGCAGGGTTGGGAGTGGAGCTGTGGCAAAACTTAGGGTAGCTGCAGCCTCCTCCCAGCACCGCCAGAGCCTGCTCCAAGCCCAGCCCCTGGTGAGAAGAGCCCCATGCAACACTGGCTCCAGCTCCACCCCACAGCTGCCACCCACCCTGAGCTGTGCAGATCTGGGGGCACATGCCCCCCTGGTCCCTGCCCCCAGCAGGGGAGGGAGCTGATCCCACCCCATAAGCCATAACTCTGTCCCCCCACCTCCCCAGCTGGGCAGTGCCTGTCCCTGCCCCATTCCTCACTGCCCTTTCCCTCCCTGCCCTCCTTCTGACTTACTAGCTGGAGGCAGCTCTTCATGCTGCCATCTCTGCCCCATGCTGCACTGCAGCTGTGCACAGCAGGGGCATTTATTGGCCAATTATTGGCCCCATACGGCTGATATCCGATTTAGACAATTTTCTTCATATTGGTACCAGTCTGATATCGGACTGATGTATTGGTGCACCTCTAATACTGTATTCTACCTCATTAATAAGAGTAAGGACTTAGGATAGGGACCGAGAATAACTGTCTGGGGCAGGAACTGTATTTACCTGTTATATGCAATGCATATTTATAGTGCCATTAAATAATATGTATTTTATTTGTATAGTCTCATTTGCTCTACACCATCAGCTTTACTACTTTGTTTGTCCATTCCTTCTACAACTGTCTTTACGCATTTTTTTTCTACATCTCTTTCCAATGGAACAACCTTTGCCATAGCAAAACTTTGGCTACCATGGTCCCCTGCTTTACCTGCAGCTGGTTAGAGCATTGTGTCTTGTGGTTGTGTCAGGGTTGTTTGTGCAGTTTTGCTAGATTAGGCAACAGATTTGTATAGGATGGCTTAGATAGAGATGATCCTGCCTCATGCAGGAGATTGGACTGGATGACCTCTGGAGGTCCCTTCCAGCCCTACTTCTCTGATTCTGTGAAATATCTTTCTGGGACTAGTCAAATAAGGCAGCCTATGCTCCACCTAATACATTCTACCTCAAGCCTCACTTCTACCATGATACACATAAAAAAGGAGTAATGATGGCTAGGTTGAAGTCCAGTTGATTAAAGGCATCACTAGGAATTTGGGTTTTTCATTCACCATGGAAAAAATGCAATAAAATCCAGATTTTCTCATTTTAAGGAGAAAAACCCAGATTTTTTCTGAGGAAGGAAGGAAGGGAATTCCAAACAAATAAGATGGTAATGGTAAAAGTCCAGCCCTCAGGCCCCTCCCATTTTAACCAGTGGTTCATTTGACAAATTGCTTGAACAAACAGAGAAAGGGTACTCACAGTTAAAATTGGGTTCAATTTTTTTTCCAGCTTCAAGACTGTTTATTGTGATCTGGAAGATTATGTGCAGCAGCAGGAATGACAGACTGGTGAAGCATAGGGATTTTAATAACCGTCCTGTATGCCCTAGAAGAAAAAACATTACAATGTGTACAGGTGAGGAAAATGACAAAAAGCTGAAGCAACGTTTCCAATCATCCAAGTGTAGACATTTGTAAAAGTCTGGTAAACAGAAAAAAGGCTTTTACATCCAAGCAGCTTTACACTATTTATGGAATTCACCTTGGGGATTAGCATTCACTTGCATGTGCACAGCATAATTGTAATAAGTTTTCAAATATAGCAGTTCAATTATGAAATCCCACTGACTTGTATTAATCATAGAATCATGGAAGTAGGGTTGGAAGGGACCTTGTAGAACTTCAAGTCCAACCCCCTGCCTGGGCAGGAGAAAACCTGGTCTTAAATGCCTCCAGCCAGGTAGGCATCAAGCCTCTTCTTAAAGACCCCCAGGGTAGGAGCCAGCACCACTTCCCTTGGAAGTTGGTTCCAGATCCTAGGCGCCCTAACTGTGAAGCAGTTCTTACGGATGTCTAATCTAAACCTACTCTCCAACAACTTGTGGCCGTTATTCCTTGTTATTCCTGTTATATAAGTTTTCCCTTTTAAATATTTTCTTAAATTTTTCAAAATGCACAAATGTCAGTTTTAAACTTTAAGAAACTTTACAGCATTTCTATCACCAAAGTCCCTGACAAATGTTACATTTAAGACTATTAAATGCAACTTAAATAGTAATGTTGCAACATGTTTAGGGAATTAACAGTGCTACAGAAAGGGAAACTAGCCAAAAAATATACAAAAAAGTGCAGTATTTTTGTGGCTGGTTTCCATCATATCTTAAATTGAACCCGGTGGAAAGGGTTAGGACCACACCAGACCTGGAACCAGCCTTGGTGTGGATCCCACCAGCCAACGATGAGCTAACTGTCAGATAGCGCCAAAACCACACCAGGGCTTGAGCTAGCACTGGTATGGTCGCCACCTGTCAATGATAACTATTTGTAAAGCAGCCCGTTTTTAACTTGCCAGTACAGGGAGAGCACAGGATCATGATCACATCCTCCTAGCAAGTAGCGTGCGATTGAGATCTGACCCAATTCCAAAATCATGCATCTTGCCTTGCACGTGGCATAGTAGAAGGCCCAGCTTTTGGGGTTTGGGATCAGATCCTATCACAAGTCTAAATGAATATCTATCAGATGCCTCAGTCATCTGACAAAGACTAGAATAGTCAACACTTCCAGAGATGGAGAGGTTGGAGAAGTGGGAATCAATCTTTCAGTACAAAAAATGAAAGATTACAAATAATGAAATATTTCATTTTTCAAAGATTCATTACAAATAGTGAAAGATTGTATTTCTTCTTTCATTACAAATAACCTGGGTTAAAAGGACAGTAAATTGAAACTGCTGCACTGCTCAGAGGGAGTAAACATACTTTTTTAAATATATGTTTTCCTTTGTATAAGGCAATTTTGACAGACAATCTGCTCCCTATCCTTTCTCTTTTGGGAAAAATTTTGAACATACTCTAAAGACAAAAGACAATGTCATATTCACTTAGCTATTGGTTCTACATGACTTACTAAAAATTAAAAGCAGAAAACAAATTTAAAAATGTTTGAAAGAGGTTTTGAAACTGTCCTTATGTGTCCATACCAAATTCTTGCGTTTTTGCATCAATAGGAAAGGTCAAAAGAAAGATATAAATTTTGTAATACTTCTTTGAAATACAAGTTTCCTTCTAAAATATAAAACATATTCCATGTCTAACTTACAATAAACAAGTTGCATTTCTATAGTAACTTCCAGCAAAAATTTCAAAGATTAATGCTCAGATCCATGGGTAAGCATTACTTTTCCACATTTTAATATGTTAAAAAACAAGTGTCCTCATTTCCCCTGCACTGACCCATAGCATTTTATAGGGCGGTCTTGGCATTTTGGAAAGCATTCCTTGTAGTTATGGGCAAGCGTCTGAAGTCACAATCTTGGGGATTCTTCAATTAATGATTATCTGCAAATACAGGAACTGGATGAAACAGCCCAAGAGGCCCCTTCTAGTCCCACGTTCCTAGAAGAACTAAAATAGTTGACTGAAAATGGGGTGTGGAAAAATACCTTTGTAGTGGCTTCATTAAATGGAGTAGTAGCTGTTCCTCAGGAGTACATAATGGTTATTTCTGTGTGAGCCTGTAGTCATACAAGTGCAGGAAAACTAATCCAACTTTAACCTTGTTGAAGATCTTGAATGTTAGGGCAATTTAGCTCACTTGTATCACTCATGCAAATGTAACAGCTGTCTCTGAACAGCTGCTGTGAGCTCCAAGACAGCAACTCCCTTTCCTCTTTCAAAGCTGCTACAAACAGAAATATGTCCATACCCTGAGAAACAAAGGAGCAGAGCCTCCTTATTTTCCCCCAGGTTCCCATGTGAGAAAAAACGGATCATCCTTCCACAAGTATCCAATGGCTCATGAAAGAGTAGCTCAAGCTGTCATGGACTGTGTGGTACCATCAATGAAGAAAGCAGCAGGCCCCAAAAACCAAGTGCAGTATACTAGGGATTAGGAGCCCATTTGTGTGTTCCAGAAGCCTTCCTGGGGTTTGACCAGGAGTATGCAACTATCTACACGATGAATAAAGAGGCAAAATAACTTGGATACACTTATAGAAAGCATGGTGGGAGGCTGTATCATCATTCTGAACTCCAATTTTAAGAGCCAAATCCCCAAATCAAAACTGCTCCAACTAATGTCAAATGCATTTACACAAAACCCCCCCACACAAGTACATTCAAGAAACACTGGGGAAAAATACTAATGGCCTACAAGGCTAAAATAAATAAATATTTTCTCCAAATTATTTGCCTGGCTCTACTGGTAAACCATACAGACTTACCTTGGACAGGTAAACATGGAGCATTAGATCAGACAGAAACAGAAAAGAGTAAGGTGTCTTTTGGTCCTCTGTGTATTAGTACTTTTAATGTAGACTCTTGGCTTGGCAGGAAGCAGGACAACAAATAAATAAAAATACTGATATTCCTAGGATCCACAGAACATGGATAAAATAAACAACTACATACAACAATTTTTATTGAAAATAGTATATATAGTGTAGTACAATAAAAATGTTGCCAAATCTCATGATTTTCTTGGAAGTTTCATGATATTTGGTGTTGTTCTTACGTTGCCAGGTCCTAGACTCATATGGATAGGCAACAGCTATGAATTTCATTTTTAAAATAAGCTTATAACCTTCAGCACTACAGTGAAAAGCCTAAAAGTATGAACCATATGCATTTTAAAAAAATCAGCCAGGAAAATAAGAAGGACCAAACAAATTTATTATTTTTTAAAATCTCATGATTTTTAAGATAGTTCTTTGATTTTGAGAGTTGACTCATGATTTTTGAATGCCAGGCATTACAAAACTGCTATTATTACATTGGAAATATCTGTTGTGCCTTTTATGACAGGACTAAGGCTGGACAAAAAATTCTGGATGAAAACTCTTTAGATAAAAAGCACAGATTCATACCATTTTTGCCATTTTTTGTTTATACAAATAGAAAATTCTGAAAAATGTATTTCATTTTTGCATTTCCAAAATGAAGCCTTCTAATTTTGCAATTAAAAATTGTTTCTCTCTTTCTTCCAAATTTACTAATTTCAAAAAAATTAAAAGGAAAAATCTTGAAAGCACAAACATTTGAACTGTGGCTCCAATGAAATGTTTTTACAAAGGATTTCACAGGAGTTTACAAACACCAATTATAATGAATTAAGCTTCAATAGGTAGGTCATCAGCACCACTTCTGCCAGCATTAGAATGGAGGAAGTATAATCAAAGCATACTAGGGAGAGACATATGAGGGATCAAAGCTACCCAGTATTGACTATGAAATCCCAAGAGGCTTTTCTTATCTCTGACATGGCTGGACTAGAACCAAAATTGAAGCAGGGAATAGCAGCTGCCTCTCCTGAAGATTCCTCTTAGTTTTGCTCACAAGAAACTAGACACAATTTTGAACCTGGCCCTATGCACCTTCAAGGAGTGAAACATGTATAGTATCCCACTTACTTCAGAATTTTTAGAGAAAAGTCAAAAACATTTGACAGAATGAGGGTTTCAAAACTCAAGGGATTATGGAATTCAAGACGTCTGCCAAGGAACAAATGAAAAAATTGGATAAAGGATGGTTTCCATATTCCATATTAATATTCCATATTAATTGCATATGTGCACAATTGAGTGGCTTAGGGAGGAGACAGCTGAATTTAAAATCCTGATATAAAACAGAGCAACTGAAAATTAGGGACAGGAGATTGTTCTTATCCTTCTACAATATTTTATTCACAGTTCAGCACACATCTACAATGACAGAAAAATTCTATAGGTCACAATGAGAATGAAAATAGAAAACAATGTCTTATAGATGCTGGTTAGCTGTGTACACTCATTTTTAGGGGACAGACACCATCGAAACAAAACCCACAGCTCAGTATTCTTCAAAAAGAAGAATCCATTCATGGCTATAAAGTAGCAGACCAAACCAAACATAACATATACCTGGACTGTATCCTGGTGTAAAATTAAACAATGAGATGTCTTGATTTGTAGCTTATAAGACAAATCTTGATTTCACTGGGTGCATCTACATGTCTGCTTTACTGCAGGGTTAACTAATTAGCTCTGCAGTAAAGCACCACTGTCTACACATGTGCCCATAAAGGACATAGTAAATTAACTCCAGTGTAGGACAGTGCTGTCTGCGACAAGTATTATCCTACAGCAGAGATATTCAGTGTGTGGAAACGCACATGCAGATAGTGACCGGGGCTGGCTGGGGCATGAGGGTACTGTAGTGTGCGGGTTGCCTGCCGCCTAGCCCCACATTATAGCACCCTTGTGCCACAGCCATCCCCTCTGCAGCACACTGAGCCAGGGCAGAGCAGCTCCAGGCTGGCAGGCTGACACCCTGGGTCCCTGCCAATCAGAGCTGCTCCACCCCGGCTCAATGTGCTGCGG